ATGTTAAATGGATTGATAAAAAGAAATATTATGTAAATTTAGACAAGTTTTAATCGATTGTATCCATTTTTTTTTAAGATAGATAGTTTTTTGTGTAGGGAGTTGAAATTAACTTAAGAGTATGCACAACTAAAAATTTGACAATTTAGTGAATGATTTCGTGGAATATTGTTTGGCTCACTTAACATAAAATTTTGGATCTGTTACTGTTGTTGTAAACCTCCTACAACTTAAATTTAGTGAGTTTATATCATATTTGGTTAGATTTGTATTGATTACTTTATTTGACAATTTTAACAAGTTAACTCAGTTACTGTCGAATTTATGCATTGTATTAATTTTATGTCGAATTCGCCTTAGTTTCTAGCCCTCTGGCTGAATTGGTAATTGACTTGGGACTCGAAATAGAAGGACAGTAACATTGTCACACAGATGCCACAATGCCCACGAAATGGAAAACGATGTCGTGTTGAACATAAACAACAAATTTTTATTTGTTTTTATTTTTGTTTTTTCGTTCACGTGGTCAAAGAAGCTACAAAAACGGGTAAAATTTTCCAAACCTTTGGTCTCTGACTGGTGGATTGCCATTAACATCTACCCAAATTGTTTCTTGAAGATTATAAGCGTTGGTGTTAAACTAGTTCATACCCAGATTGTAGTCCTCAAAAAACTGCTTTCTCTAATCTCTCTCTCTCTCTCTCTAGAGTGTCCATGCAGAGGCATCCTGAATGTACTGCTAATTATTTAATATATAAACTTTCATCACTATAAATCTCCTCGGATTCTCATAAACCAACGCCCTGATAACTGTCATTTTCCAGTTGAAGTAGTTCCAAGAATTCATGGGTCCAATGTCTTCTGGTCTATGCTTTTTGCTACCCTACTTAACGCGGCTCTTACTCTTTCTTCATTGCCTCTACGTCTACTCCTAAAAGCTCCTCTTTGAAAAAATAGCGTACATTAATACAACTAGTTCCATCAGCTCCAAAGGAAAAAACACAAAGTTAAACTCCAAATCCTTTATTCGAGTACATTCAGAGAGAGACAACATGATATAGAGATATTGTTCATGTTGGTTGTCATTACTAAGTAAATTTATTGATTTCAATATTGAAGTTGATTGCACATCCACCACGTATCTATATATGCCTTGAACAATAAAAAAAAAAAAAAAACTGACCAGTCATTGTGATGATTGATCCACGTATAATGAAACTACTTGATATTAAAATCTCAGTCCTCTTATAAATCTCTCGAAGATGATGACACTTTTAGATGAAAAAAAGAAGAAGACAGATATTTAACTCGACGGAGAAGAATTCAAAATGTTGGGTCAGATGTGACCAATCACTTGGAGTTATAAGCAATGCCCCATGCCAGAGGGTGAAAGCCATTGAATGCATGATAGAGACCAGGCCATGCCAAGTATATATATCAACATGACATGTCATGTGTGTGTGTATGCTATCGTGCCAACCAATTCTTCAATTTTCTCCTTCTTTTGTGGTCCCACTTGAGGGCCATACGATGCTTACATTTCATTGCAACAAATTTATCAGATTTAAATATTATGCTGCAAAATATAACAAAATAACCATGTGTTACGTAGTATGTTCATATGCCCACTGGAAATTGAAGGAGAAAGATAGGTCTTGTCATTTTGAACAAGGCAACCGCTTTCTTTCTTTAGTTTTGATTATCTAAATTGCAGGTTGCTGGATCACTAAGACAACAATTAAAGTCTCAACAAAAAGTATAAGTCTAAATTTAATTGGACCTTTTAATTTGCCAATAATAATAGTCAGACCCAATATGTTGAACTAAGTTTTTAACCTAACCTATAATAACTATTTGATTGGTAGCATGTCTCAACAAAGAGTTAGGTCATATAGTATTACTCATCCCCAAATCGCAATGCACCAATGAAAGAGTTGGGCAGATTAAACCATAGAAAAAAATGAAAGAGGACAAACCCTGGGAACGAATCTACCCTTAATAGACTGGAATAGAAGATAGAAAAGCCTTAGCTAGTTAATGTTCTGGTGGTGCATTTATAGGCATCCCAACTAGCATAGTGCACAGGCCAATGAGAGACCTGACATCTCCAACAGTAACCCTAGTTGAAATTTTTTCAATATCCGTTGTCTACAAGGCTACCACACACCGGGGGAGTTATTAGTTTGTTTCTTCTCTTCTTCTTTTTTTCAGATCTTGTGTTATGTTGAAACCCAAAGATTTTGAGAAAGAATATGATTTTCTTTATCAGAATTGTTAAAAAATCATGTGTAGGAAATCAATATTATAGCCTCCTTTTGTTACTCTTATAATTTATGTTTTGTTGATATCATTTTAGTCAATTCGAAGGAATGAGATTTTCTGATGTACCAAAAAAAAAAAAAAATCCGAAGGGAGGAGGGGTTTGCATGTCCATAATGATACACTAAACTAAAGGCACTCTCTATGCAATTATTAAATTTTTTTGGGAGCATATAGTTTGATATTCAAAAAGATTCAAACTATTGTTTTTATACTACCAGTGAAGGTGCCCGAAAGATGTGCTGCCAGGCTATCCCCAACGCAACCGCTCTTTCTCTTTCTCTCTCTCTCACTGTACATTCGAGTGACAAACGGAGAAGACGACACTGCTTCCAGATTTCAACGCATTACAGTCTTCGAAAATTGTGCGAGAAAAGCAAGGGGAAAAGTAACAACACGTAAACGTCAAATCCTGCATCTCCAAAACAGGTTGTCCCTATTTTATATCATCAAAAATATGTGTAGAAATAGAATAACTGAAGAACTATATAGTACTAGCAGTAATTTAAGTCAAAAAACATGTTAGTAAGGACGACCTTCCACTGTTGCTTTCTTTTCTCTCGAGCCTTAGCCTGATTTTCTCGAGACTTACACCTCAAATGCATGGTCACGTGCTCTCTCTCTCTCTCTCTCTCATCGCGTTTGCACCCTTCTCCCAAAATATATGGTCACGTGCTCTCTCTCTCTCTCTCTCTCTCCCCCCCCCCCCCCCCCCCCCGGGCCCCTTTTTCTGAGAAAGTAGGGTTAGTAGGTCTACTTGAAAAATAGGGAAAGGTAAAGCAACCTTTTTGTGAGTTTTTTGCCACCGAAGTCAATTTGGTGTCTTTTGTTGGTAAGAAGATACTCTCTAAGAGCAATTTCAAATGGAACTGTCATTTTGAGGTACTAAATCATTTATTTATAATTTTGAATGGTATTTTAGTATTTTTGAATTATAAATCTTTTTTAATCGCAAGTGTAAATATGGGGTGTCATTTTAATATTTTTTATTAAAAAATATAATTAAACTTAATATTTAATATTCTATGCAACGTTTTTAATATTTTAATATTTTTTACAACTTCTTCCTTTCTCTCTCCAGATTTATCAAAATTGTCACCTCAAAAATCTTGATATCATTTTCCAATCCTTGATATCACTTTCTTGAATTTGGAGTGACATTTTGACAGCTATGAATTGATACCCTGATGTCACTGCTCTTGAAGTTGCACTAAGAAGAAAATCACGTAGAAAGGAAGACAAAAAAGTTTTCGTGGGAATGCGTTGGCTTTAGAAAATTTAAGCAGACACCCAAAAACACACTTTCTCTTTAATCCAACACCTTTTAAGTTTTGATGATTTGAAAGCCTCTCTCTAGTTCATAGACTGGTTACTGGTGGTTTAGGTTTTTTTTTTCAGAGCCAAAAAACTTGTGATTCCGAGCCATTGTACTAGTTTAAATCAAGCAATCAAAAATAGTCAGAACGGGTCTACTGATCATAATCAAGAACACCTACCAAAATAAAGCTGGAGACCAAGATAAACAACAATGCTCTTTTGGCTAAATCACATAAGCTCTTTTTTATTGGGAATTAAAAAATATGACATAATCTATGATCTAATGATAAAATTCTAGTGTTTAATGAAATTTATAGTCATTCCAAAGACTATAATTAATTAAGTCAACAATTTAGATCTTAGTATTACTCATTTCTCTTCTCTATACAGAGCAAAGGTGCTTCTTGTTGTCGACACCAAAGGAGAGAGAATTAATCACATACTACTTAAAATCTTGTGAAATTGTTACGTGGTCAATCATAATACATGCACGAATAGGCCGAGTCAACGGGCCAGGCCGAGTCAGCCCCAACCAGACATTATTCAGCCCATAGCCCCCCTATGGGCCGGACATTAGGAATTTTTAAGGCCCATGACCAGCCCTTGGGCTGGCTTATTGGGCCAAAAATGGGCTAAATACGGGCTGGGTCTAAAAAGATACAAAAAGACATCAAAAAATTTATTTTTTATATAAAAAATACATAAAGGCATCAATTACATGAAACTGGCATGAAAAAATAAATTAACAAAATTGTTCATATTAATTAAATTTAACAAATATTCATTTAGAGTTACAATGTGACATTACAAATTCATTGGTGGGTAAAACTATTTTACATCACTACAAATTCAATACATCTCAATCAAGTTAACACCTACATAATTGTCAATCATTTGCAAGTCTTAATTTTATAAAAGTTACACATTAAATATCAAATAAATAATACAATTATGAAATATAATTTAATTATCTTATTGGGCTAATGGGCAGGCTAATTGGCGGACTAACGGACTTTTCGACGGCCCGGGCTACTCAAGCCCTACCACATGTACAGGCCAAGCTGCCCATTAGCCCATTGGACTTCCACACCATAGGCAGCCCTTTGGGCTTTTTGGTGAGGCCTATGCACGAAACATTCACAATTCCTGTAATACAAACCTTTTATCAAAACACAACCAATACGCAAAAATATAAAGCCTCCTGAGCTTGCGTCAAAGAGCAAAGCATGTTACATCTTCGCCTTCAAAATAACAATTCCAGCCACATTCCAAACCTCTAAGAATGGCTGCAACGACACACAACTATAAACAATAACGTATGTGCCAGCAAGTTTCCATTTCCATCTTTTATCTGCAGATGTAACCGGCAACATTTCTTAGCTTAAAGACACCTAAACTATTTATTTTCGAAATAGACTGCGAAGAAGCCATTACATGCTTTACCAAAGAAACAAGATTAATTGAAGAACACAGCAGATCATAGTCAAATTTGCATGTGTATATATATCAAAGAGCTGACCCTTCCCACTTTATATCTCTGCATTGCCACTTTCACATCTGTGTGATGATATGTACCATATAAATTCATCAACAGTATGCAGCTCATGCACTATTTCCAGTTGTATAGTAAACATGACTGCAAAAATATGCTCCATTGTCTAACACAAAAAAGGGGAAATCTTCAACATTTGGCAAATTTGGATGTTCCAGACAAATCAAAAATATGAGACAGTTGATGGTCCATCATGACCACCACTAGCAGATAGCAAAATTTTAAATCCCTACATGCAGAAAAGCTGTGCACCCAGACATATCTGTTGATTATAAGTAGCTCCAGTAACTTCAACTCATGCCTACTTGATCTTCTTCTTTGGCCTCAACTGCAAATCAAATTGCAATAATACAACTTAAGAACAAACATTGAACAACCATGAAAAAATGTGGAAGTTTATAAACCTTGAGAAAGAAGCATTAAAAAAAAAAGACTAAAAAAAACTCAATATTAACATTAATTACCTGGTTGCTGTGCCCACACTTTTTCTTCCGACAGTTGACAGCACGAGGATGCAGACGAGCATAACATCTAAAACAAAAGATTAAATCAAGTAAATCTAAAATATTGCACACTTGATTTGTTACTACTACGCAAGTTTCCCAAATCTAGAATCATGATGGATACTGCAATATATTAAATCAAAGAGTACAAATAGGACAGAGCAGATTTTAAAGTTTGGTTTTAAACTATAACAGGAATGAAGATAACTACCAAATTTAAAACTACTTGCACAACCAAAACAAAAAAGATCTACAAAATAACAAATTTAAGCCCAGATATCATGTAGTATTACAACTAGCCTATAACTTTTTAACTAGATAAATTTCCATAAAATACTTACACATAAAACTAGAAAGCACATATACGAACACGGATATCGTCTTCGATACGATACGGACATGGAGATCCAACAAAGTTCTAAAATATAAGACACGGGTACGGCAATGAGACGACTAAATAAAACAATATTATATATTTTTTTATATAAATAGCATTAATAATAAGACCTAAAAATCATTGTGTAGTTAATTAATATCTTACAATAATTGAGTAATGGGTTAACATGTTAGAATTAGGCAGTGGGTTTAACACTAAAGTGGGCTTGGCCTATGGGCTAACACCAAAATGGGTTGTAGCCTATGGGCTAACATTAAAGTGGGTTGTGGGTTAATTTATTTAACACCTAAAAGAAAAAGAAAAAAGAAAACAAAGCTGCTCAATTCAGTCGAGAGAGAAAAAAAGAAAAAAGAGTCCAAATTGGGCACTGACAGAGAAACAGTCAAACAGAGGAAGAAGAAGGAAGAAGAAGATCCAGTATGTCTCTTTGCCTCTTCTTCTATACTCTCTGTCGACAACCTTCCCTTCTTTTTTCTTTTTTGAGTCCCTAATTCCTTATATCCTCTGCGTATTCTAGTCGTATCCGACTTCAAAAATTCTTATTCACTGTTGAAGACATCTGTAAAAGTATCGGACACATGTCTCACCGTTTCCCACGTGTATCCGTGTCGGACACATGTCCAACACCGCCATGCCTCCCGACAAGTGTCCACACTTCGTAGACATAAAATGAACTCAAATCTGGAAAACCAGGGAAAATACACTAATGAAGCTGTCAAAACGATTCAGTGTCGAACAAAAAGTTTGGGAGCTTCATGAGGATTCTAGTGGATCCGTCTAAATTTCTAGGAGGACAAGATTTGAACATGGTGAAGGGTAAACATAGTACTCGTTGTACAATGGGGCATATTATAGCTCCTAAAAGCTCTCTTGCACACATTTAAATGGGACTTAAAATATCCTAGCACTAGGATACATCTCAATGGTTAAAAGCTGGGATGTATCTAAATGCTTAGATTTAAAGTGACGCAGAAGCATCTTGATTACAATGGTAAAGCATAAGTGATGCATAAATTTACACAACGACAAAACACAGAAGTTAGTGATCCCTAAATAGACTTGTAGGACAATTTACTAGGCCATCTTATTGCCAAAGTGAGATGATAAGGCTGATTAATAATCATGGTTTAAGGTTGCGATATAGGTCATCAACTAGGAGAGTTATAATACAAATCAGTGACGACTCTGTATCAGGCGATACAACTTAAAAGAAAATATTGAAAATGACGAGAGATGATAATATACTACGGTATCGCAAAATCATATCGGCCGATTAGATGATAATAACTTGGCCGAGTCATGCGAGTCGCAGGATTTATAGGTATCGTGTAACAATATCGTCTCAGAAAATGTCGAATCGAATACAACTTGACCGATACCAATATGTGTCTAAAAAAAAATGTTGAACATGACAGGTGATTCAAATTATACTGTGATATAGAGGAACTGTATCGGCCAACTCAGTAACGCTAATTCAACGACTCGAGATTAGCTTAGACGACTTGGTCGAGTCATACGAGACTCGGGGTTTATACATATCGTGTAACGATATCACCTCGAAAGATACCGAATCGAATACGAGTCGGCTGACTCGTATCGATATCAACCGATACTTTGAACCATGATAACAGTTACAAATTATGGGTTGCCACATCATCAGAAAGCCACTTCACTAGTTAGAGTATCACATTTTCTATGATATTCCCTCCCTCTATTTGTTCTTAGCCCTCTTTCTAACTACATCCATAACTGTCTTTTTGTCTAGACCCCTCTTATTTCCATTCTATCTCACTTCTTCCTTCACCTATTGTTCTCTTTATGACTGCCTTTTGTTTCACCGCTATTCTCACACTATAGGATGTATCAAACCTTGTTCCATAAGGGAAGGCTAGTGTACTAAATAATGCCGATGCAACTAAATAAAGTATAATAAAGAAAGGCAGAAAACTTGCCTTCCAAAATTGCAAAGCAAACTTGCAACAAAACAAAGGACAACGTACGGAAAGTAAACCTGTCAAATGCTCTTTAGCATTGCACATGCATGTCAAAGAAGTATGGCAGAGTGTTCCATAGGAAAATCATCCTAGTTTATTAGATTTCCTGGCTACAAGGTTCCATATTGAAATTTGTAATTTAAGCTACGTGCATATATGTTTTGGCCTTTATATAACAATTGGAGTAGGGTGATATGGTTTGCTACTTGAATCTAGATAAATGCACACATAAACATGTACATAACCTTCCACAATATATATGTGCATATATATGTTGATACCGTAAAGAAGTAGTATCATCTAGAGATACCCCATGCATCCTTGCTCCGAGAGTTTGGTAAAGGCATACACACTTCGATGGAGTGATGGAAAACATACTAAAAGCCCCTGGCATTCACAGATTTTGTAACGTCATCATCGTCATAAAGGCTGATGGGAGATGCTCTCCATACTATTATCTGATTTCAGATGAGCTTGACAACTTTTCTTCCACAACCCAATATGTTACATAACTTTCTCATAGTTACTATATAAATGCCACCATTGCCAGCAGCACTATGCATCAACAAAATTGCCCTAAGAGCATAAACGGAAGAAACATGCACAAGACTCCTACAAAACTGCCTGAAAAAAACACGTTCATGGGGCTTGTCAGACCAATAGAGACAACAAGACTACTCCCCGCAACCCCAAAGAGACACAAGAAGACGAATGACAAGCAAGAACCAGAAAAGTAGGCATAAGATCGCAATATCACATTAAACTCTGCTCAGTCCAACTATTTCTTTTACCATAAAAGCCACTTGACCACTGTAGCCATATCACTTCCCTTTTAAGTAGGCTATGTTATTGGTACTCCAAAAAAATCTCCAGGCATTCAAAAAATATAAATATTCAGACATAATGTAAATAGCAGTAGAATGCCTGAAGTTTTGTTGCAGTGCCAGCATCATTCTTTCAAACATGCATCATTGAGTGAAAAAACTGAAGTACATCTCTCGAATTAAAGGTAGCATAGAAATGCCCCTTGCATCAATTGCATCATAGACCACAACTATGACTCAAATAAAATCTGATTCAGAGTAGTCTTACACATTTTATTCAGAAAAATAGAATTCATGCTTTGGAATTGGAATGGAATGATAAATTAATTGAAATTTCAACTAATTTTGTCTTCTATTCCAAGTTCACGCCTTCCATGCCCCCAAACCCAGTATTTAAGCATTAAATACTAAGGATACTAATATTCAATCAAAGTAAGACACAGGAAGTGCCAATCCTGATTTACAGGAAGGTAAATCCCAGACAATTTCTTTTCTAAAATAACACGAATATCCAATTTTTACACTTCAAATATAGAAGACAAATTATATGCAACGGTCTTCAAAAGGTCAACATAAGGTAAACAATAACAAAAACCTAACTTGAACGATAGAGTCATATGGAAAATACTAAAATAAAAACTGAAATGAATCCAAGCCCCTTTGGAAACAATTTCTTACTTGCGGCAGATCATCTTGTCCTGGTTGTATTTCCGCGCCAACGCCATCAACGATGGCTCAATTATACCACCACGAAGCCTCAGAACCAAATGCAGTGTCGACTCTACGTAAAATATCAATCAAATAAATACATATATACTTCGCGCGCGCTTCTGTGGATATGTTTATAAATGTAGGTGCATGGATACCTTTCTGGATATTGTAATCGGCGAGGGTACGGCCATCTTCGAGCTGTTTGCCGGCGAAGATCAGTCGCTGTTGGTCCGGTGGAATCCCTTAAAAAATTTAATTTATTATAGGATTTGCATGTAAAATCGTCAGAAATCAGAAACCCTAAATTGTAACCAAAAGGTTTGATTCAGTGCAATGCAATAATTATATAAATATGTCTAACAGCACCTTCCTTGTCTTGAATCTTGGCCTTAACATTGTCGATGGTGTCGCTCGATTCGACCTCAAGCGTGATGGTCTTCCCTGTCAATGTTTTCACAAAGATCTGCATCTCGCGGCGTTGTTGAGCGTTTATGATGAATTGATCTAGTCCCGCTGAGAATTTGGGATTTGCCTTGCTATGAATGTTGCTGTCATTTTAGCCCATTGGGCTGTAAAGCTCCATTGCCCCGATCATAACTGGGCCAGAGGTACAGCCCATGTTTTTTTCTTTTAGTGTAGAAGGCTCTTTCTTCCACAAAAGCCTAATCAAATAATTTCAGTTTATCTGCTCACCAAGACATGAACGGCCTGTTTGGGACATGGGTTTTGTGGAATTTAAAGGGTGGGTTTTGTAAAAACAATTCAATACAACTTTTAAATTCATGTTTGGTTCAAAGTTTAAGACTCGGGATTTATAAGGTAAATGAATCTCGACCCTAGTGAACATTTTAATAAATTGAGTAACATGATTTAACATAAATTCCTTGGATGTGTACATCAATAAGTTTTCGAAACCATGTGCAAATCATTCATACAAAATTAAATTTCACAATTCAATAGTTTTCGAAACCATATGTAAAGACTATGAAATCTAAATCTTGGTTCCCCAAAAAGGCAAGGTAGGAAAGATGTTGTATTTCCAAATCCATCAATCAAAACAAATAGATCTACAAGTAAGGCCACAACTCGTTTTTACACTAGATCTTCTAATCAACTATTCCAGTCAAAAGTATAAGTGACAATAAATGGATGATCCATTACTATTCCAGTCAAAAAAATATGGAGTCAAGAGTCTTTATGCCTCCCCACCCAAAAGAGCAGCCAGAAAGGATTATGCCATCGAATCCAGAAATATATAGTTGGTGTTGTTATAACAAGTGGAGTGGGGGTTAGTCCACTTCTTGTATTTCTGGTTCAACTTTGTAAGATTGAGGTAATCTAATCAACAACATAGATCATGACCCCAATGGAAGTATGACCTTCCCTAGGAACCAACAAGAAGAATTGATATTTAAAGCGCATGTTGCAATATATATATATATATATATATATAGGAAATTTACCTTTCAAATACTTTTCATTAAAAAAAAAAATTCTATCTTCCTTTCATAATGCTTAGTTAATTAACTAAATGTGATGTTTAAGGATCTTTATTTTTCGAATCTATTGCTGGATTAAGGACTAATCAACTTGCTTAGCTTCTGAAACACTCAATTTAACTACAGAGAAATTAGGTAATATTACATAAGACGATAAACATCAAAATAATAACATTTAACTACCTAAATTTTACATGTCGTAATGATAACATATGTTGGAAGTGAAATTGGCACAAATACATTTTACAATATTGCATGTATATGATTAGGGGTATTAGAATATGACACGACATAAAATTAGAGAGTTTGAATCTTCTTTACGTCACTCATTTTATAAACAAATGGAGATACGATTAATAAACGAATCGTGTATAGGGAAAATCAATCAAAATAAATACGTGACTCGATTCATTTATATAAACGATTCATACATGACATGAACCCAATATAACATGACTCGTTAATCACAAATTAATAAACGAATTGAATATAATGTGAACTCATCTAAGGCTTGACACAATTGACAAGCTTACATATGATATATGATATATTAGATTTTAAATTTGAATCATGAGGATAGATTGGCATACATTTGTTTTAATCAACTAGAAAAGAATAATATCTAAAATAAAGGTGTTTAATAAACAACCCTATTAGATTTGCAAATCAAACGTATTGTGATGACACCATCGCATCTACTAGGGTACAGATAATAGACTAAAAGTGTCACACCCCCACCCTGGATCATATAAGGTGGGCGGCGGACCAGCCATCAAAGCCTTAATAAAATAATCATGTGCATAATAAATGCAAAATATAACGAAAGACAAATAATAAAGTAATTCATTCCACTAACATAATGAATATCAGAGGAATAAATTAAGCATCACAAACATCATTACTAAATCCATGTAAAATAATATTCAAATCGTAAGGTGCACTACTCCAAACATGAGTAACATTATTTTCAAAATAATTAAATACTTGTCTCAAAACTACAAATGACATTTATTCTTTAAGACCTACAATAAAATAAATCTTCAAGTCCTCTAATCTCTTGTCTATCTATAGGCTTATTCCTCACCCTGATCCTCACCTAAAAAATGTTAAATATTTGTATGAGCATAATGACCTGTGAATAGCAACTACCTCTAATGAGGTGTGAAAATAAATCCCACAATTTATATACAAAAATAAACTTTGATATATACATAAGGATAACAAATTGTATCCCAACCTGTCTCACATAATCATTTAAACAAGATGATCTCATGATCACCAATAACTTTATAAATGAAAAGACATTTATAACTCAAAATACCGCTCATTTTCACAAATAACTTTCTACATGAAAAGACATTTATAACCCAAAATATTCATACACACATTTAGTTCCAAATACATTTGTCAAATCATATTTGTTACTACTAACCTGATAACTGGCTCCGTCTCTTGTTACCACTAACTTGTTAACTGGCCTCGTCTATTATTATCACTAGTCTGATAACTGACCTCTATGTGCACATCTATATACTGATTACACCAATATACAATCTCGTTACCATTTAGACCTATAACTCAATCTCCGTCTCATAAAACATGATTTTCACACATACCAAAATTGTCGTTTTAGTCCTACCGCATATAACAGTTCACAATTATAAAACATTTAATTGCAAACAAAATATCAACACATATATCATATATATGAAAAATTCACACGCACGCACTTTTAATATAGAAAATCCTCCCAAAAGAAGTAGTAACTACTCACCTTGATTCCCAAAATTCAATTCGAAGCCTCTTTCTCAACCTCAATGCAATCACCACTTAATCCAAAATAATATATAGCAATTTCTATTTCTATCTTCGTCATTTTCGTGATTCTATATTTAATTTACGTACATCCTATCCATTGATATATACATAATATATCCTTTACATATAAATATTCCTTGACAGTTCCAGTTTTAAAAGACCTATGTGTCCAAAGAAAGCCCCAAATAATGTGTCTTAGTGAAACCAAGATGAGGGAGAATCGAATTGAAAGAGTAAGGAGAAAGTTAAATTTTGATAGAAAATTTATTGTTGAACCTGTGGGTTTTGCTGGTGGTATGTGTATTTTTTGGAAGAAGGAAATAGAGCTGAAGGTGGAAGGGTATAATCAAAACCAGATTAACATCACTGTGTGAGGCCAAAGTACAACTAACCTATGGCATTTGAGCTTTATATATGGTAACCCAGATTATGAGAAAATGAGAGAGCAGTGGAGAAGACTAAGTGCCTATGGGAGGGCTATGGAAATGCCTTAGTTGTGTCTAGGGGACTTTAATGACATAGCAACTAATCACGAGAAGGAAGGGTTTAGGGAGAGAAAAGGATACAAATTGAAGAAATTTAGAACTTTTCTTGATGAGAGTAACTTGATTGAGTTGGAAAGTAAAGGGTGTAAGTTCACGTGGGACAATCATAGAGCAAGGGATGCTAATGTTAGGGAGAAACTAGATATAGCACTGATCTCGTATACTTGGAGGACGATGTTCCCAAATGCAGAGGCTATTGTCCCTCCGACGGTGGGATCTGATCATTCACCACTTGTAATTGACACTGAACCGAGAAGGGATAGACCAAGAAGGTATTTTAAATTTGAAGCATACTAGGCGGATGAGGAACAATGTGCAAAGGTTATTAAGTACAACTGAAAAACAACAGAATGGGTCTACGATGTTTAAGCTGCAGCACAAATTGAGGGAGTGTGGGAGGGATTTAAAGGCATGGAGTTCCAGCTATTTCTCGAACAATAAAAGGCAGATTGAAAGCCTAAAAGCTAGATTGTTGGACCTGTAGAACCAGAGCTATCCTAATGTCCAACAGGAAGAGATTGTAAAGACCCAAAGAGAACTGGGAATTGCATGGCAGATAGAAGAGAAGTACTAGGGTCAGAGGTCAAGGTTGAAGTGGATCAAGTGGGGCGATCGCAACACAAAAATTTTTCATGCGACCACCATCCAGAGGAGGCAGAGAAATCGAATTCAAATGTTGAAAGATCCAGAGAGGAACTGGTTGACTGACAAAGAGAGTATCATAGCACATGTAAATGAGCATTACTAGTATATTTACAAGACTAAATGAGAGAAGTGTTATTCACAGATTCTGCAACAGATTCCCCCAAAGGCTACAACACAAATGAATAGAGAACTCCTACAACAACGATCAATAAAGGAGGTCAGGAAAGCAGCTTTCAGCATGGGATCCCAAAAGGCACCTGAACCAGATGGAATATCAGGTATCTTTTATCAAAAATACTGGAATACTATAAAGAACGAGGTCTTTCGTATTGTCCATTCCTTTTTCCAGAAGGGCTTCCTGCTTAAGGAAATGAATGAAACAAACTTAACCCCAGAACCAAAAGTCAAAAATCAAAAAACAATAAGGGAGTTCAGACCTATAAGTTGCTGTAATTATAGTTATAAGATAATTTCAACGATACTAGCAACTAGACTCCAAC